TGGTTTACGATGGAAGTACGTAGAAATTAAGTTTCTTATATCTATTCACTCCACTGTTTGTATATATCATTATCCTTATAACAGATGGCTGGATGAAATTTATCCATTTCACCTGAATATAGCTGGGACACAGCCAATATATCCACAAGAATAAGCCTTGAATTGAATACCACATTTTATTTTCCTAAATAGTTAATATTCTAATGCATGTGAGGTTCTAATAATCATTCCTAGCATAATGTATCATCGCAAATCTATTATCACAGCTTGGTTCTGTGATATTCTACGATCAGATCCTAACCCAAGTGCTGTTTTGTGACCCATCTCGGCCTGCCTGATGCCTTAATTATTTAAATTAATTCCATACCCCACAACAAGCGCAGACGAGGCCGAAGGCAGAAGAGCCATTGTCACACCGCTATACGTGCAGGGAAACCATTCCTTTAATTACTACATATACACAAAGACACACCTCTCATGCGCTGGCGAATGTTGTAATCCATGATGAAGGATCCGGCAGATTCTATCTCATCACAAGAATAATCAACAGACGCCAACAGTGGGTAAGACTGCCTTTCAAGGTTGCAACTGCCTCGCTCCTGTCAGTTCCGAGAGATTGTTGTTGTCAAGTTGGAGCATTCATTACTGAAAGGATAATAAATAAAAGAGAGAAGATCTCAATATATTTGATATATTTATCGAATCTTTAATCTATAACAAATGAATTACAGGATTTAGATTCAAAGGTTACTGAAACAAGTTGGGATTTTTCTTCTTACACGAACGCTAAGCCATCCACTTCAACATGAGCAATGTACTTGAGTCTCCCGTGTGTGTGTGCGTGCGTGTGTGTGTGTGTGTGTGTGTGTGTGTGTGTGTGTGTGTGTGTGTGTGTGTGTGTGTGTGTGTGTGTGTGTGTGTGTGTGTGTGCGTGCGTGCGTGCGTGCGTGCGTGCGTGCGTGCGTGTGTGTGTGTGTGTGTGTGTGTGTGTGTGTGTGTGTGTGTGCGTGCGTGCGTGCGTGCGTGTATGTGTGTGTGTGTTTGTTCGTGCGTGCGTGCGTGCATGTGTGTGTGTGTGTCCGTGCGTGCGTGCGTGCATGTGTGTGTGTGTGTGTCCGTGCGTGCGTGCGTGTGTGTGTGTGAGTGAGTGTATTACCTAGCCTTTTTTGGGGTGTTTACATACCACTTCCCACCACCTATGGTACTCCCTTGAATAGGGGCGATAGAGAGTTGTATATGCCCAAAACGTGTTTCCATTTCGAAATAGATTTTTGTCCACTCTCCGGAGCGGGTTATTATAAACACGAAATAACTTTATACATTTAATGGAGTTACTTATACAAGTGAATTCTCGTCTCCTGACGAGTCCAATTTTTCCCCTTGGAGAATACGAAGAGTTGCAGACCCTTGTCTTAATCAGAAATTACTGAAGACAATTGTGCTTCGGCGGCCACGCACGATCCCGATTGGCACTGACCTGCGACACAAGTGCCACACAAGCGCCCGGCCTCTCCTGACCGTGATCAGCATAGAGTATTGTGGCTCAGTTGTTTACAAGGCCTATGGATTATCATCCTTATGTCCCCGAGACAAGGTGTCTATAGTGCCTTGTAAAACACTAAAGGTTTATCCCCTCCATAGGATAAACATCACACTGTAGCTTCAATGGGATGTGGAGTTCCCCTGAGCTACCTTTCCATCTACCATACAACCATTGGAAAACCCGAAACCGTGGTGTATAGTGGTCTTACCAGGTCAGGATTACCTATAAATTACCATTCCATTACCACAAGTCTGGCCGTTGACAGTGTGTGTGTGTGTGTGTGTGTGTGTGTGTGTGTGTGTGTGTGTGTGTGTGTGTGTGTGTGTGTGTGTGTGTGTGTGTGTGTGTGTGTGTGTGTGTGTGTACACTTATATAGAGATAACTAAATTATGGAACGCCATCTCTTTTTCTTGTCTGTTTAACAAGCTATGCAGCTGTGGCTTGTCCTCTGACCATTCATACATTTCTATTTGTATTTCTCTCACTCTTGCACCTTCAGTTATTCCTGTCAGGGCACCATATACCAGGCCTCTTTTTCTTAAAGGTCATCCATTTTCTGCATCTTCATGAGCGTATAAAGAGTATTCTTTCCTCAAGAGCCCCTCCCGGCTCCTGCCAAGTCAGTTTCTAAAAAGCGTACGCCAAAGATTAACACCCTCATAAAAAAAATGGATGACCCCCAGATGATGTGACCTAAAATTAGTTCTGTGTTCGTTGCATCCTGCGGGTCTTGATGATTTTGGCATCGTAATGAAGATAGACTTACACATCTGGCGGGTAATTTCTCCTATATGCTGTTTGGTATTTCTATCAATTTCTCTCCCCTAATGCGTCCCCGCAGCTTTCCCCTTCTTCATGTTGGACACTGCGTGTTTTATTTCCTGGATCATCCACGTGTTATTTATTTGTTATATTTCCATTAACGCTAACCCATCCATTGCTTTAGTTGCACTAGTATTTTCTATTTCCTTTTTCGTACCATTCTAGCTATTCTGTTGCATATAATTTCTTTGCCATTTTACTAAATTCTTCTATCTCTCTGACATCTCGTCCATCTATTCTCCTCTGCGTAATTTCCTCTACAGTTCCAAGTACTTTCCCTGTCCCTGTCTTTCGATTTACGCATTTCTTCCATCAGTTGTAAGGCATATTCTGCTATCAATGGTTTTATATCCCTGCGCTCTTTCTTTGATACACAATGTTTATTTCCTCCTTTCAGAAATTACTGGGTTATGGTCGCTGCTGTAGAAAGACCCATGACTAGGTTTTGTTTGTGTCACTGCATTTCTGAACCTCGTGTTTACAGTGATGTATTCTATTTGGTTCATGTGTCACCTGAGGATTTCCATGTGTATAGATGCCTTAGGTGGTGGGGAAACTATGTCTTCACTATGATCATTTCATGTTTTTGGTACCAATCTGTCCATATCTCTCCTCTCTCGTTCTTTATGTAGTAGATTGTATTGGTACTTACCACTTGGACTGGTATATATCTCTTTATAGAGTGACTGTGTGGTGTGTAAACATGCAGCGAAGAGGGGAGCCTGCTATCCAATGAGCACAGAAAAGACTGTGACCCAACCTGGTAAGTATGCTGAGCTTCAGGTTGTAGGGTCGTGCTGCTATATTTTCTCCCAACCTTTCTCTACCTGTTCCTACGTTAGCGTTTAAGTCCCCATGGCCACTGTGTGTTATGCCTGTTTCTAGTTCTGTCTAAAACTGTTCTGTGGGAGCATAGACTTGCACAATGTTGATGTCAATAAGCTGTCCCTCAATTTTGATTATTAATACCCTGTCTGATACTCCATAGAACTCCTTTAAGTATTTAACTAATTTGTCATCCAACATTAAACCCAAACCTCTTTACATCATATCTCATCCTCCCTTGCCAGTTCATAGCCTCTTGGTCATCAAGACTTCTCCAGTGCCTCCTCATGGCTAACCATGGAAACTGAGTACTTTGCGGTCCCAGGTTATACTTGTGGGGGACCTCAGAGCAGCAGCAGGCTCAAATGGTATGGAGTGATGGCCCACTGTCTTGTGGACACCCTGGTTCCATATTAACTCCTGCTCCTCCCTAGGGTCAATGGGTAGCTCGGAGGAGAAAGGCCTTGCCAGTCCTCCACCCCCCCCCCCCCCCCCAGATAAGGCTCTCCAGCAACTATGCATATGAATGGAAATGCTAGAGGAGGGGTATTTCGTTATTCGTCCCACCTGCACCCTGGCAGCCACCTACCTAGAGTGAGGCCTGTGGAGCAAAGCCCAAGGGAACCCCACAGGCAGACACTGGGCCCCATAGCCTGCCACCCCACTTTATATGGGGTAGCACCGGCGGGGGTGGTAGATGTGGTATCCACCCAGAACGACTGCCCAAGGCTTAACCTCAGGCGAGTTGTCCAGGTAGGAGCTTGGAACACCTGGTCTTTGCTCCAGGCAGCGAAAACAGCCTCCTTTTCTGGGACTTTGTTAGTTCCCAGAGATTAATGATTTCTGGCCCTTGGTATCAGCGCTCCAACCTGCATTGCCAGACATGGACATTCTTGTCAGCACTCATTGAAGGATCCTGCAGAACTGCAGGTTTTACCAGAGTGCCAAGTTCTGTGGCTGGTTGTGACTACCCTACAGGTCCACTTCAAAACTACTCGTCCCTCCAGTGACTACTCTAGGGTGTTTCAATTGGAGAGATTGAAGGAATATGCTCGGAGGCTGTCTCTGAAACACTTGATGCATAGGCAAACTCCCAGAATTTTATCTCACTGGAATCATTTTCTCAGGGCCTAACAAGCCCAGAGAAAACTGAACTTTAAGCTCTCCTGCAGTCCACTCAGTGGATGAACAGATCTCAGTTCATGTTGGAGTTCAAGAACGTTGGGCCGGGTATTTTGAGCAACTGTACTCTGGCAGTTAGTCTGGACCTAAGTGGTATCACAATACTTGTGTTGGACCCACCCACCAGCAAGGAACCTACTACCCCACCTGAGGTTAGGGAGGCGATCTTTAAGTTGAAGGGTGGGAAAGCTGCAGGCATATGTGATATCCCTACTGAACTACTAAAGGCCAGGGATAAACATACGGTCTTGACTGCCATCTGATACCATGGCATCACTGCTCAGTATTTCAGGCTAGGTTTTCGCCCACATCCTTCTGAAATGGATCCATGAGACATTGGCTTAATAGCATACTTATATACTGGTGCAGTAAAGTATCTTGGGGGCCTGTCCAACTTATTCCCTGTTAACTCAGGAGTGAGGCAAGGCTGTGTCCTTGTACCAACACTTTTCAACACTTGCATGGACTGGATGATGCGCAGAGCTACTATCCAAAATCAGTGTGGAGCAACACTGGGCAATATCAAGATCAGACCTTGACTTTGCCGATGATGTTGCTATCCTATCTAAGCCTTTGGAATCACTGGTGATTGCTCTTGATGCATTTAGTAGTGACGCAAAGCCCTTGGACCCAGAGGTCTTCTCGACCAAAACTAAGATGTAGGATTTTGGGGGCCTATTAAGGAAACCCGTTCAGTCAGTACATGCTTGCGGTGAGGCCCGTAGAGAGATCATGGCTTAGGCAGCTCAACCAGTCCTGTTGCGAAGAGTTAGAGATAGGCAGAAGGCCTGCCTGGAAACTCGCCATGAGGGACACCCGTAGCTGGAAGCGAAGGGTGGGTGCAGCCATCGGTGTTAGCCCCCCCCCCCCCATTATTTTCTATCATCAGTATCATCATCATTATTATTATCATTACCCTTATTATTATCTAGTTATTATTATTATTATCACCATCATTATAATTATTACCGTCCTTGTTATTTAATCATCACAATTATTTTCAATTATTATTATTACTATTCTCATCATTATTATTATTATTATCATTATCATTATCGTCATCCTCATCCTCATCATTCTCGTTGTTATTATCAATATTATTATTATCATTTTTATCATTATTATCATCATTATTCCTATTGTTATTATTGTTTTTAGAATGATAGTTATTAAGATCATCATAATCGATATTGTTATCACCATTATTATTATTATTGTTATTATTATTATAATGATTATCATTTTCATTACTTTTGCTAATATTTTATTATCATCATTATTCCTATTGTTATTATTGTTTTTAGAATGATAGTTATTAAGATCATCATAATCGATATTGTTATCACCATTATTATTATTATTATCATCATCATTGTCACTATAGTTAATTTTGATATCATTACTGTTGTCACTATTAATATTTTTATAATAATTTATTATCATTATTATCATTATTATCATTATTATTATCATTGTTAATATCATTATTATCATTAGCTCCATTAACATTATTATTATTATCATTGTTAATATCATTATTATCATCATTATTCCTATTGTTATTATTGTTTTTAGAATGATAGTTATTAAGATCATCATAATCGATATTGTTATTGTTAGTATGGTTTTCGCAATTATTATTACTAATGTTATAATTATTATTATCATCATTATTCCTATTGTTATTATTGTTTTTAGAATGATAGTTATTAAGATCATCATAATCGATATTGTTATCACCATTATTATTATTATCATTATCAACAATGCTATTATTATTATTTCCATTGTTGTTATTATTATTGTTATTATCATTTTTTCTCTGCCGTATCAGAGCCTGACTTTGGCATTATCATTATCATTACTATTATTATTATTTATAGTATTATTAATGTTATCATTATTATTATATTACTTATTATTATTATTTGTTGTTGTTATTTTTAGTAACAGTAGTATTGTTATTATTATTGTTATTATTATTATTATCATTGTTAATATCATTATTATCATCATTACTATCGTTATCATAATTGTCGTAATTGTTAAGAATAATAATGATATTGGTTCTGTCATTATCGTTATTATAACTATTATCAGTATCATATTATTATTATTATCATCATTATTATTATTACTGTTATTATTATTATCATTTTTATAATGATTATCATTTTCATTACTTTTGCTAATATTTTATTATCATCATTAACATTATTATTATCACTATTATTACAATTATTATTATTATTATTGTTATTGTTATTATTATTATTATCATTATTATCATTATTATTATCACTATTATTACAATTATTATTATTATTATTGTTATTATTATCATCATCATTGTCACTATAGTTAATTTTGATATCATTACTGTTGTCACTATTAATATTTTTATAATAATTTATTATCATTATTATTATCATTATTATTGTTATTACTAATATCATTGTGGATATTGTCATTATTATCATTAGCTCCATTAACATTATTATTATTATCTTATCATTATGTTTTTATTACCATTATTATTATTATTATCATTATTATTATCATTGTTATTATTATTATTATTATTATTATTATTATTATTATTATTATTATCATCATCGTCATTATTAATATTTTTTGTTATTATTATAATTATTATTATCATTTTGCTTATCATTACTATCATAATCATTATCATTTTTGTTAATGTTGTTATTGTTATTACTGTTATCATTATTATTATCATTATTGTTATTATCATTATTATCATTATTGTTATTATTATTACTATTATTATTATTATTATTATTATTATTATTATTATTGTTATTATTATTATTATTGTTATTGTCAATATTGTTATTATCATCATTATTATCTGTATCATTATTATCATTATTGTTATTATGATCTTTATTGAACCAACATCATTATTATAATTTTTATTATCATTGTTGTTATTGTCACTGTTGTTATTATTACTATCAGTTATTATCATTATTATTGATATTATTGTTGCTAGTATATATATATCTATAATTACTATTATAATCATTATCATTATTATTATCATTGTTATTGTTGTTTTTATTATCATCATCAATATTATAATCATTATCAATATAGTTATTATCGTTATTATTATTATTATTATTATTATTATTATTATTATCATTACTATTATTATTATTATTATCATTATCATTATTATTATTATTATTATCATTATTATTATTATTGTTATTATTATTGTTTGTGTTATTATTGTTATTATTATTATTACTAATATCACTGTTATTATTAGAATCATTATCATTATTGTTATTATTATTGTTCTTGTTTTTGTTGTTTTTGCTGCAATTATTATTAGTAGTAGTATCAATATTATCATTATTATTTTTTTTCCATTTCTGTATTATTATCAGTATTATTATTATTGTTATCATTAGCATTATTGCTATTATTATTATTATTATTATTATCATTATTATTATTATTATTGTTATTATTATTATTATTATTATTATCATTCACATTATTATTATTAGATTATTGTTATTATTATCATTATCATCTTTATTATTGTTATTATTTTGTTGCTAATATCATTATTTCTATTTATATGTTTATTATATTATTATCCTCATTAATATTATTATTATTATTATTATCATTATTATCATCATTATCATTATATTTATCATTATCGTAGTTATCACCACTAATATGATTATTTTATGATTGTGGTAATGATTTTTTTATCATTATCATTTTATTGTAGTTATTGTCGTTATTTTTATCATTATTTTATTATTATCATCATTATTATTGCTGTTGTTGTTATTATTATTATCATTATTATTACTATTATTATTATTATTATTGTCATTATCATTATCATTACTATTATCATTTCTGCAATCATCATTATCATTATAATTATAATTTTTATTATTATTGTTACTGTTATCATTTTTAGTAGTAGTAGTAGTAGTCGTGACAGTTACTACTACAGTACCAGTAGCATTTGTATTATGGTACTGTCATTATTGTTGTTGTTTTTGGTATCATAGTGTTTTTTCCATCTCATAAAGTTAGTAAGAATTTTCATAATATCCCACCATGACAATGATAGCAATCATCACAGTTATCATTACCAGTGGTAGCAACAATAACAGTTAGGTTAATGATTGTGTGCATATGATTATTTTCTTTAATGCATTAGTACATATCAGCCGTGCTTTCAGGGGAAGAACTGGAAAGGGAACCGTGTATTTGTCTTTGAAAGTACGTCGGCAGTCGTCATGAAAATCGTTAGGGTGCTATGGAGAGGTCAAACTCCTTTTTCGTTTTCCACGGTATTTTGATTTTTGAAAAGGGCTCTCCATTATATTATGATATCTTATGACTTCAAAAAGAAACCTTTTTATTATACATTTATTACCTATCCATTTATTCGTCTCGCGACACAGAACGCAATCCTCGGACTATATACCTTATCAAAAGGCTGCTACAGTTACGATTCGTTTCGGTTATTTCACAGAATACAAAGATGATAGTAGAGCTAAAATAAAAAAAACATCTTTATCAGCCCTTTGCAGCTTCCCCAAGACACCACCACCAGTGCCTCCTCCGCCCGCTCTCTCGGGGGAGTCGAAGGCGAGTCCCGCGAGGCCGCCAGCGTCAGTGGGACACAAGGGCGGCTCGGACCACTATGTGAGAGAGGACGCGGGCGGAAATATCCTTCGCCATGCCTCCCAACAGGACCTCAAGGCCCAACAGGGCTCTTATAGACGAGTTCTGTAGCATCACAGGTGAGCTTAAAGCCTGCACTCATTGATAAAGTTCCCTTGGGGTTTGGTTTTGGTCTGTTTATAAGGGACTTGAGGTTGAACGGAGGAGAGATGGATGCTGAGACGTGTTTGCATAAAAGACGTGTATATTCTGCTCCTAAGAGAGGGGAGGCTTTCAAAAGGTTATAATGCGCTATGTCCTTGCTCGACAAAGGATACTCCACGGAGCAATGATACTGAGTTAACAGGAGAGCAAGGCAATTCCACTCGAGACAATTTAAAAATAAGAATCATTTATTGCAAATATTTTTTTATGATCGGCAGACGAACTACGTTCAGTACACATTTGAAGTAATCTAACGATACTAGAATCATTGAATTGGCAGCTGATGCTTATATACCCAAGTCAAACCTTAGTACAAAGAATTATAGACACTTCCATGCTCCACTGATTGGACACAGTGTCATAGAAATTGGACATATCATCCTATATTAGATATGAGGAAAAGCACACTAATGTAGTATTTTTTCCTCTTATAACATAAGTGTCGCAGACAATCTTTGTCATGTATCTTACCTGTAGTTGACAAACACAGAAATTCCCTTTAACAACAATAGAATTACCTATCAATATCATATGGTTGCCTGCAACTCTCATTATTTATATACAAATGCTATTGTGACGTCATCTCATCCTGCTCACCCAACTGCAATGGAGAGCAAGATGGACGAGATGGACAGCTTGTCCAGGATGCCAAAGTAGGGGTTCGGAGCAGTCAAAACATCTTCTTCAACTTGTTGGATGAGTACTTCCGAATGCAGGATTAGGGAATTCGTGAGAAATCAGGGTTAAGCCTTTGTTTATGGGGGAGACATAGAGTATACTAAAGTATGTGATTTTGTTAGTTTATTCATCAGCATATTATACTATGTGCATATCAGGTATGGTTACCTCTGTATCACATTGTGCTCAAGTAGAAAGATCAACAAACTCCCTCGACACATATTCTGGCTGGATATAGCTTGAGCTGGTTCCTAATTATTGTATATTCTGTATCATGAGTGCTCATCTCATATTGGAGCTAATAAAGCAGTTACACACCTTCATAATACAAGAACTAGCTCTGAACTGTTTGGAGTAGTTGAAATTCACAATGCCTCAAACAATGAACAACAATAGATTTTTCTTGCTTATGATCGGCCTGAAGGTTATTCTTAATGTTTATCAACTATAGATTAACAAATATCTTTGATTTGTAAAATGTGGTGTAAATGAAAGAGTTAAATTGTTGTGGTAAATCTAAGACAGTCATACGTGTTTTTGTGTTTTTATTTTCCTTTTACGTCCTTCAGTCCTGGGGGACCTGCAGGGAACTAGGGGCTTGAAGGGGGAGAAGACACTCAAACTCTACAAGGGCTAAGCCCCCAGACCTTCCTCTGAGGTACTTCCCTATTGGGGGCAAGATTTCCATCCGTCATTTCTCTACTTCCCCTATGACAGTTATTTATTTCCATGCTAGGGGCAAGCCCCTAGACCCTTTTCTCCTGGGGCATTACCTTACTTTGCATGCAGTTTGGTACAGTTGCACTATCAGCAAGATTGCTAGGCATGAAGAGTGGTACTGTTCTTGGGTTAATCTTTACAGTACAGATTCACTAAACTAGGCAAATTAATGATGATATTATTATACAGGATAAAAAGTAGTAGTTGTCACTACAAGAAATATGCCGACATTAACGGGAATACCATAAAGGGAAGAGATCACAGAAAGCAGCATTCACTGCCTAAGTTCAATCAATGTTCCCAAGTTTCAGCTCTTTCTTGCCATGCATACTGAGGTGAAGACAATGTGTCCCAGGGGGATGTTGGGGGCAGAGCCCTCCATCAACCATCTTTTTGGGCAGTACCTTGAAGGGCACACACAGTCATGGCTGCTAAGATTGTAGAATAAATTTTGTGACGTGGAGTTGGCGAGTGTGTCCGTACTTTAAAGAATTATCCTGTTCTTGTCTAGCAATCTTGCTGATCTATAGTCAAATGAATGAACTCCCAATAGATGGTAACCCTGGCCATTCCTTGCAAACATAGTACTTTAGAAGTACAATAAATAACCACAATTTGACTGAAGCAACAACAACAACAAAAAAATCATTAAATCTTAGATTATTTATTATTATAGATAATGTTACTACCTGGGCCAGCCTCTAGCCCCCTTCCCCTAGGATATTTTCATACCAGAGCAAGCCCTGAGATGCCCCCCCTCTTCCTCTATGGTATTTAGCTTACCTTAATTTATCACACTGGAAGTCTTGCCTTTTTTTAATCAAATCTTCAATTGTTGCAATTATGGCATGGTAGTCACTCAAATAATGTATTGTTAGTATGTTATTCAAAATTCGGTAAAAAGATGGCAAATCTGTAGTCATGCCTAACCCTTTGGTTCCAGATGCTTCACTGCAGGCTGCGAATTTTTTTTTTTTTTTTTTTTTTTTTTTTTTTTTTTTTTTTTTTTTTTTTTTTTTTTTTTCCCCACTTGTCCAGGAGGACAAGTACACCTGACTTTCCACTCGTCCTCTTCTGAATACCACTTGTCCAAAATATTTATATATATATATTATAAAGAAATTTATCAACTGTGATATATGAAACTAATATAAATAACTAATATATGAAACTAATATAAACAAATATGGCAGCCTCCATAATCATAGAACTGAAAGGAACTAGACCTTGCTAGATTTCATTAATTTTAGGGAAAAATCTACTGGAAATTTTTACTCGTCCATGCGGACAAGCAAGGTAAACATTTTACTTGTCCTCCACAAGTTTACACTCGTCAAAGACGTGCGGACGTGGGATTTTTCGCAGCCTGCACTGCTGTTATATGGTCCAAAATACGGCCATAAGGCTTACATGACTGAACAGTCTACTGAGTGTGCCACTAGTAGTCAGGCACAAACAAACACTCATGACAAGATTCCATGCCTCCCTTGGGCAATGTTATTTTGTCTTTCAACATAAGCATTTTTATCTTTTTTGCCATTTACCAATGTTTATATTTGTCATTTGATTGGCCTTATCCAGATGAGAATATACTGTTTTCCTTGCACAGATTCCATATTATTTCTCAAAGTAGTTTATAACTCATTGCACTAATAATAACAGTAAGTAACATTTTGTTATTTGTGTCATTAAAAAAAAATCAACATTTTTTGTAATACAACCTGCACACCAGTCAGCAGGAATAGGATCCTTAGCATGGAAATAATGTCCTCCCTGGAGCTGGTGCTACTCTAGTCGTGGCTCATGGACATTATTTTCCACATCCCCTTTTATTAATTGAAGTAATGCAAAAGCCCTTTCCCAGATGAGTCTAATTTGTGCACTCATGGCAAGTCTTTCCCATCACCCCAGCCTTCGGCCAAAACACTCATGATGACAAGTTTGTGTCACCCTGGGCAAATTTTCCTATGCCTGTATGTTCAAATCACCTGCCCCTCAAGCCAATTTTTTTCATGTCATTTGGATTGTAGGGGTTAACATGGGGCATCACACTCAGTTCAGTTCGCAACAAGGGTTGAAAGAACAAGTGTAGTCAAAAATACCGGTAGATTTGCCTTGCAAGTGACGATCAGCATGCAGCGATGTTACATTACTATTGTGTAGATATAAAAAGGTTAGAAAAAGATATTTGAAAATACATAAGCATTAAGACAAATAAAAGCAGCATTAATTATGGGGTAATTAGCTTGATAAAGATTTACTGGATTACAGTGCAACAAATGAGGTCCCCTCGGTTTTATAACTGCCAACATCTATGAACACTATATTATATACCTATGATATTTTTGGATATATGTAGTGCATTCATTTTAGTTAGTATTACCTTTGTTGATGAACCAAGAATTTGCAGTCATTTCTTTTCCTCTTGCCTTTAGTCTTTTTTTATTTTTTGTAGCTGGAAATTTACAGAAGGAGATTCATGAGTGCTTTTTGATTAGTGGTAAATAGTCAGAGATGTTCCATCCTTGTTATCTGTACTACACTTGTAGTTCTTGCTTTTGCCACAAAATTTTCCATTTACACTTCTTAACTTTGTAAAATATCTAAAGCTACAGGAATTTCATTGACTGATGTGTACTGTTTGTTAGTTTTCTTTATGGTTTCAGTGTTTTCAGTAACCACATGATGAATTTAAAGATATGATAGCCTTTTATTTATTTCAAAATTGATATGTCATGAAATAGCATTTCATTTTTACTGTTTCCTTTTACTATTCTATTACTTTGAAGGAGCCAATAAGTCACTTGCTGGAAGCCTCTTGGAAGCATGTGGAAACAACTTGGAGATGGCAGTCAACATGCATATGGAAGGGGTCCATGGTGCCACAGAATCTGCTAGTGCCAGTACTGGTGCTAGTGCCAGTGGAGCAGTACCAGTCATAGATGTATGTATTCCTTCAGTCAGCATCTAGTCTTATTCATATTTTTTAAAATGATATAAAGGGAACAAACAATATTCATATTTTTTTAAATGATATAAAGGGGACAAATAAATTAATCATATGTTATAATTACTTATTGTTTATTAAAAAATGTCATTTTGAAGTGCTCTAGATATTAGAAACTTGAATATAAATTAATGGTGACAATAATAACAGTGATATTAAGTATGATAATAAGATTTAACCTGATTACTCTAATAATCACTGTTGTGGCAGCTTTGATGGTTTAGGACAGTGTTTTGTTTATGTAACTACTCCTTGGCCAACTATGGCCACTACTACTGCCACACATTGTTAAAATCTATCAAAGCTAACTTGTCGTAACTGATGTTGCTTTTTTACCTTTTATTACACATAGTATATTCATTTTAGATGCCTTGTCACTGTTTTGCACTAGTATGGAAAGTATTCTATTCTGCAATATGTGGCTTTGTTATATACTTTCTTGACTAATGAGGTTTGGCCTGTAATACTAATGATGACAATGTTAATATGATTATTCACAATTTTTGTCAATATAGGGTGAAGATGAGGTTCGAGCTCCCATTCCTCAAAAGCAAGAAATATTAGTGGAAGGACCAGATGAAATTGCCTACAGCTTCAGAGGCCGACGAAGAATAGCAAGATCAGTTTTTGATAAGTTTAGAGATTTTGAAGCTGAAACAAGTGAGTCGTTGTTGTCTTATTTTTTTACTTAAACATGTTATCTGTGGTATCAAGAAGACAGTTATTTTAGTAAGGTTAGGTGTACCTTTGCCATTACATTAATTTTGCACAAAAGAAATTGTATTTTATAAATGTCTTTAAAAAAAAAAATGGTGTAATTAGAACGTCAGGAAGCAGAGCTGTTGGCCGGCACTAGTGAAGATGGAGGAGAAGGAAGTGCAGGGGCATCCACAAGCAGTGGGGCTTTTGCTGGGCGTAAAAAGCAGAAAATGAAAACATTAGAAGAGCTCTTCAGACCTCCCTATGACCTCATGTATGGTGGAACTTTTCAGGCTGTAAGTTAATCAACATTTTCTTTTTGTAACTGTTTTATTTTCCACAGTAAAGCCTTGCATGTGGCAAGTAATTGGTTCCAAAATAGATAACCATATGCAATGTTGTCAGAATAATTACTGATGCTAGAAAACATCTATATTCTGTATATTAATCATGAATGAGTAAACTTTCTTTAAATTGTCAAACTCTAGTTAAGTAGGAGAAAATTATCTCTAAGATATTTATCTTCAAGTCTGCAATCACTGTTCTCTCCCACCTCTTTGCTCTGTTACTCATCATCATTTAAAGAATATAGACATTGCTAAATGTATGAAATAAACATTTCATTCAT